GAAGCCAGGAGTACATTGAGTTCAAGATTTATTCTCTTTTCTTCGCTTTACATTTGCATTGGCTAGTGAGCAAAAACAGCCCAGTACTTCACTTACTCATTTCAATTTTGCTAGCTCACCTGTAAAATAAAAATTCTTATAGATGTAGTAGTAGTAGTTGAAAGGAACTCCCTCAGGGTCCTTCATCTGACAGTGTTTCATGACTGGATTTTCTGTCATTAAACGGCTTGGGCAGACCGTTGTATCTCTCGAACTTGTGCAGTTCTGATTCTATGGTTTTGGCTATCTCAACACGTTCAGCTTCAGGCTCAGGGAAACCCACGTGGAATGATCCTTGCTTTGCAGGTTCTGCTTGTCCCTTGGTTTCATAATGATGCTTCACATAGTTGTATAGCTGTTGATGGAAAGGATGATCAATAGAAAAACAATCGACAATCTGAGCGTGGTGAGATGATCCTGAGCTTCCTCTTCTACAGAAATGTGGTAGGGATGTGTAGTCCATAATCTATAACAACAGCAAGATTCAGAGGTAAGAGACTCTAGTTAAGCAAATGAATATACATGTATGTGTGTACCTTTAATAATTCATCCTTTCCGCAACCAGATAACACGTGAACTTTTAACCTCGTCCTCTCTTGTAAAAGAGGTTTTACAACCTGATAGGAACCCAAGGTTACTTTGCCAATGAAATACACCATACATGCTAAGTAGCTAAACAAATGAGAATCGAAGAGGCTTACCTTCCAACAGGCAGAAAATATATATGGAGCGTTCACGACATAGTACGTGTTTGTCTTCTCTGGGTAGTTCAGATCGTCAATGGTCGATATGATAGTCACTAACTGCATCATAGGGTTTAACACACAAAACTTAAAAGAAAAGAAAAATATGAAAATGAATTCAAGTAACTTTTTGTGACTTGCGGTATTAACCATACCTTGATTTGGCTTAGCGCTGAAAGTTTCAACCCGGTCATGTCTAGAACCTTGACGCAAGTGGTGATTGGTCGTCCGTTCTTCTTAGACACAGAAGGCTGTAAAAACGTTTTTACTCGTTATAGCAAAAGAGAAACCGAATAAAAAAGTGTAGCCATCTGCCATGTACTCACCAGTAGTACACGGTCTCTGTATTCATTGATTTGGATGTGAGATTGGACATAGTAGTGAACCTGTACATGGAAAATTAGAAGCACATTCATTTTTCTTTCTCATTTTTTCGTAAAACTTGCAACTCGCGACAAAAAAATGAAGCATCATCTTACAGAAGCTTTGTCGAATGTGCTGAGGCCAACGCCAATAGCAAAGACAGGCAAGCCCTATACATCAAAAGGCAGAAGCAATTAAGAAGAGACATGTTTTGATCAGAAAAAGGCATGGGCATTGGGAAAGGCTACCTCTTTCGTATAACCGGACATTCCTATGAGTTGAGAATCCCGCACGTCCCTGTACAACTCAGTAGGAACAATGGGTTTCTGCGGAAACACAAAAACATGATCTAATGTCACTCAACCTAGAGCTTAACATCACAGACCGAGGAAAGAGTGAAAACGAATAAACTCACGGATAATATACTGTCGATTTCATTATCCACCCTCCAACGCAAACACTCAAGCAGCTGAAAATGAATCAAAAACGCTGAAATCAGACATCTATAGAGTGGAGTCACACTCATATAATGAAGTATTTGGGAGAGGTACCATTGTATGAGCTTTGCATACATTCCAGTCTCGTGCTTTCAGAAAACGACTCAAATTCTCTCTCAGGTATCCCTGATGGACTCTCTGCAGATTCACAAATACGTTCCTTTACTTGAGATTTGAACATGAAAGAAACAATTCTAGCTCAACAAGCTCACGACTAGAGATGTAAAATCTTAAAAGGAATCAAATTTAACCACTGATACAGAGAAACCAAAAACCAGATCAAATATGAGTAAAGATGAGAAATTTATGGAGAATTTGATGCATCTGTGATCTGCTCAGTTGAATTGGGTTTGACCCATTTCCAAGAACAGAGAAAAACATTCATACATACCTCAAATGTTTTCTTCAATGGCTCCTCAACTGTCACAAAAAATTTACCCAATTTAGTAAATTATAATCACAAATCAAAGTTGAAAACCGAAAGAGGAAAGAGGAAAAGGTCAGACTTTGATCTATCAGCTCTTGGAATTCATCAATGGCTTCTTCTGAAACCCCCATTCTGCAACCAAACAGAATTGCGCAGAACAAAAAATCTCCAAGATCGGCTTTTTCTTCCCCTTCTTCTTTTGTCACTTTGCACCAAACTAAGAGTCCATCATTAAAGGTCAAAGAGAGGGTAGGAGACAGAAACCCCCAACAGAAATATACACTTTTAAAAACAACTTGTAGTAACTCCTACCAAGAACTACTTTGATTAAGACCGGTCGT